GGGATGGGCTAAGAAAGGAAATGGTCCGAAAATGGAAGGTGGGCGTCAAGGGGAGGGGAATGGGCGGCAAAAAGGGGCGTCTGTCCAACGTCCGTGACAGTACTCTTCCAGCTTCGCACCAGTCATGCCCCCCTCAACGACCACCTGCATCGTATCGCGCGAGTCGACTCGAAGCTATGCCCGGCATGCGGCTTAGCTCCGGAAACAGTGATGCACTTCCTTCTACAGTGCCCCGCCCATGCCTCAGCGCGCTCAGAACACTTATCTCGCCTCGGACGACGAGGCCGGGCCTTACCCACCCTCCTCAACTCACCCTCAGCATTACAACCGCTACTCAAGTTTGTTAGTGCGACACGACGTCTCCAGAACACCTTCGGCAATGTGACACCCAAAGAGACGAGACAACATCAGGATCAAGACCGGAGGGGTCGCAACGCATAGAACTCGCTGGCGCACTCGGACGCGCCTTTTCCTCCCCCTCTACCTCTCTTACTCGCTCGCTGTACAGTACGCTGACTACCTCGTCCGTTTATTACAGGAAAGCGACCACACACATCCCACTACATAGAGTCCGGTAGTCTAGTGCTAACCTCGTTGCATGTATCCAACGCTCTGACATCAGGAAAAACTCCCTGGGCGTTTTAGGACTAAATTAGTAATGTCGGCGCTATAATGCAACTAACACTACTAATGACCTCCTAATTGTACATCGGGAACTGGTTACGAGCGCGCCTTGAGTACGGCAGCTTATGTTTCGTGCATCTGTATTGTATGGTCTCAAAGTACAAGCTTGTATGTATTCCTGTCCGCAAATGAGTTGAGGTACAATGTAGTCGACCTATCTAGCACATCATAACACGTCCACTCGCGGGGGGCTACAGGTCCGAAGTGTGGTATAAGCTGGCAACTACGCTCGAAGTCTTCGATAGGTATGATCATTGCGAGGCGTTCGCCCTCAGCATTGGATGCAGGGGATATCGTGTAGAAGCCGTGATCAGCCCCCTTGATATCTAATTCAGTGAACAGCTCGACATATGCCAAATGCTGCGGGCGACTCTCAGGCGCGACGTGCGGAAAGAGATCCGCTAAGCCACGCTCCGGAATCTTGAAAATGATGCGCACACGCACAACGCTGAAACCTGATCAAAAGTGAGCTTATGGCACGAATGGAGATGTATATGATCACACACAGTTAGCCAGTCCATCTTGAGCCTGCTCAGCTGTATCCTGATCTGGTGCACGTATACGGACTAGAGCGGTGTCAAAACGGCCAGGAACAGATGCACCGCGCCTGGTGACACGAGCTGCGCGCGCATGCACCACATCGCGGATCTCGGCTCCAGGAATGTCTAAGCCATCCGGGTCTGCAATCCAAAACTTGATCTTGTGATACACTGGGAGCGTTCGAAATCTGAAGAAGATACGTGAGGACTCATACTCAACCTGCTGAAATGAAAAGTCCGGATTATTGAATTTGACGACGTAACGGGCCAGCGCGTCGCGAAAATAGGTCGCGCCGTACAATGTCTTGATGTCCTCGATACTGACACCCTTGATGGAGGCGTGTTTTGACATGTAGATACGGTTTCGTGGAGCGCTTGGGTCGAGATCGTGGAGATGAACAGGGGGAAGGAGTGGCGGGATTTCGGGCTGGAATGGCAGTACGGGTGCGCTCGGGAATGCTGGGTCGAGAGGGATCTGCTTCAACCGCCATTGGATGTACTTCTCGTGGCGCAAGATTTTCTCCTTGCGTTCGAGCCAGAGAGTCATTTGCGCAAGCTCATCCTTCTTGTTAGTCGCGCGGTACGCCTGTTTTGTGAAGTCAATATGCAGCCGCTCAGAATGTTGGGTATCATAGTTGTCCGTTGTACCGAAGAGCTCGATAGAGCGTCGATAGTGGTCAAGCAAGTGAAGTTTCGGGAGTTCAAAGTGCGTCCGGATCCCGAGGTCTACAAAGATAGACTTGTTGGCATGAAACGCCTGCAGATGCTGCTCGAGAAGGTCCAGAGTTTCCGTCGTGTGGGTAGGGTACTGTGCGAGGTAGAGGAAATCGAGAAGAGCACGTGTTGCGCAGACAAGACGAACTGGGGAGAGACCTCCAGGGAGCGGAAGTCCAATGATGAGCCCTAGCAATATGCGCGAGATGTCCTGGTGTTCTTTGCCAGTGATGCGGGACATATGCGAGATGCCGCTCGAAAAGTGCCGCACGCTATTGTTGAGGGGCATGCGGCGGCACCGAGCGTCAATCTCCTCGACACCGTACGCCTCCTGAATCCAGGCTAGAAGATGCTTGATGACGCCTTGGTGAAGCTGATGGAGGATGTCGGGGGTGATTGAAAGGAAAATGTTGGTATATGGAAGGTCTTGCCAGAAGGGATGATGGAGAGGCTTGATTCCTGCCTCGCGGCATGCGCTAGCAAATGCACGTGGCCCTTCATCAAAAGCAGCGAGAGCATCGAGGACCTTTCCGAGGTCGCGGAGAGGTTGTGAGGGCTCGGACGACGCCCCGACGTCACGACGTGAGATTGTGCACTTGGGACACTCGCCGGTCTTGCATCCGGTGACCAGTACCTGTTCGGGATAGTCCCCGACATAGGTGGCGAGAAGTGGATGCCCGCGACGCACGAGACCATCTCCGCTCACAAGCTCCATCCCCTTCACCCCTGCAGAGGTTAGAGGAGCCAGGACTCGGGACATGCAGGTATGGAACAGGTTGGCCAGGGTTCGACGGCGCGCGGCCTTGTTCTTGATGTGAAGCAAACGGGAGGTAGGGAGATAGGCGAGCAGGATCTGGCCTCTGCGCGAAGGCTTGCTGCGGACGTCCTTCGGTAGGTTCCCGATTGTCATATAAACGGGGTATGCTGTCTTGTTTCCGAATGTCGTTAGCTGAGTCTTGTCAGAGGAGATGATTACGGGTATAACCGTGGCCCCTGGTCGGTCTCGTTCGAGCTGCTTCTACACATTACAAGACAGTGAGCATGACTGTTTACTTGGTTACATGAAAGACCTCACGAACCTGCGTTGACCACCACCATTTTCCTGTATTCATGTTGAAGTAGACACGGACTGTTTGGTCCGCATCTGTGTAGTGGCGCTCGGGTACTAGAAGAAGGAGCGGAGCAAACTCCGGATCCGAAAAGAGGGATTCGATACACGCTAGGATATCGCGTATATAGACCTCAAATGATTCCCCTGCGACAACGATCTCATGTCTTTCGAACCGCGGTCGCGCAGGGGGGAGTTGTTCGTCTACCATCTGGTTGAGCTTGCGTGAGGTGTTGAAAGACAAAGCCAGGCGTTCGGCAACCTGGAAATCGGAAGGATGACATGAGTGAATTGAAATTGAAATGAAGAGGAGCCGCAGATCTCATGACCCTCTCAAAGACGCGACCTTGCACTAAGGCCAGTGGTGAGCACATCAACCGGTTGATTGATGGCAGTTAGTATCGACTCCTACACGTCCCCTTCCACTACTGTGCATGGCTGCGTTCGCTCTGGCCTCTGAAAAGAAGAGACTCACCTCTTCGATAGCCAGTAATTCATCGAAAGCAGTCGATCCGGGACCACGCAACTTCGCCCACCGTGCAACCTCCCAATCCCGCTTGGATGCAAACGGATAGTACAAGTTCGCCTCGGATACATCCCCCCCAGTATTCAGTGCGTTCGTGTATAGGGTATAAGCAGGACATGATGGTGAGGCGTGAGGGATAGGAGCTCCGGCGTGAGGGGATGGATACTTGACAACATAGGTTTTGCGGCGGGTATGGCTCTCAATTGAAGTCCGTTGCGCCGTAGTGGGAAGCGTCGGACCCGCAGGGAGATTCGTCACATTAGCTGTCAGCGGAGGGGGAAGATTCGAAGGGGATGTGGGACGGGGAGATACGGGACGAGGTGGAGGCTCCCAAGATGTTTGTAGTGGGGCGAACAGGTCGTCATCTTCATCTTCCGAGTCAGACGACTCAGAACTCGGAGATTCCGGAGGTTGATCGGGGGGATCAGCAAAGAAGTCGTCAGGGTACTCGCCAAAGTAGTCGCCTCCAAAAGGAACAGGCTCTTCTTCAATGTCGCAATCCTCAAGTGATGGTGGGAGCGCCATAGCTGGATCGACATCCATGTTGTCGGGGGAAAGCTGGTCAACGGGCACAGCAGATGCGCCTGCCAGAGCGGATATCGACAGTGCCGCATTTCGAAGGTTACGAAAGGCAACACATCCGGTTTTGCGGGTCTGCGTGAGGTGCTTCAAGAGACCTGATGGCGAAAAAGTCTTCTGGCAGCCTTGGCACCATCCCGGGTGTTCCGAAGGATGCAAGGAAGATGGGCCGGCAGCAGGACGAGTGAATACGGACATGAGGAAACGACAGCTGCATGGAGGTATAAGATTAGATGTAGTAGGATAGACTTATCCGAGTCAGCGAGAACTAACTGCATGCAAGTTTGAGATCAGCGCGACTGATCGGTGCTTGAAAGTGGCGGCTGCCCGTACTTACCAGTCGGGGGCCAATCCGCGCGCCTGTCCGGTCAGGCCCGATCGTCCTGCACGAGCCACAGAAGTCAGGCTCCAACGTGGCACGACAACCATCACCCAATATCCTTACCTCTGCCCATCTTCTTTGCCTTCTACTCCAGTCCCCGACGCTCCCTATCCTTCCTTGTCATTCCTTACCTTCTTCATCCTTTTTTTGCTTACCAGCTCTAAGCACCATCGCGCAATGTCAGGGCGACAAACTCGGTCAAAAAAGAGCGGACAAACAGCAAGCAGCAACTCACAGCAGGGCTCCACTGAACAACCATCCGTGTCTGCCCAAGGGACAACGTCAAACGGTCATGGGAAGCTTCCGAAGGGCCGCGGAGGCCGCAAGACAGCACTGACGTCCTCGGGTCCATCCTCGTCGCAACCTGGAAACATGCTCGTCACAGGTGCGCTTGAAATGTATGGCCTTATATGCCTCACCTTCGTTAATGCTAGTACATTGTGTCGCAGGTCTACAATCTCCTGTAGAGGCTCAGGCTCCCGGCGCGGGTGCACTGCCGCTCCAAGTCACAAGTTCCCGACATAGTAAGTCGAAAGCCAAGCAGAATGAAAGTACGTACTATCTATCGAATTATTGTGAATCACTAACGTTGAACCACAATAGCCTTGGCTATCGATGCTCAAGGCAAGCGCAAGCGTGCTCAGTCTGACTCTGTGGGCGCCGATGCCATCACTAACGAAGCGAAGCCCGCCAAGAAAGGTAAACGTCTTCCTGCTGCCCAAGAAAGCATCCGTACCCGTAAGCAATCATTGTCCACCTAGTTATCAATTCTGCACTGACCGATCCACATATGGCATTGTGTATAACGTGTAGCGACCACCAAGACTTCGCAGGGCCAGAACAATCGGAAGACTCGTGGGCGCCAAAACAAGAAGGACGCCGAATCTGCGACGCACAGTTAGTAGGCCTGCTCCGTGCAGTCCTTACACTAATATAGCACGCCACAACTGTACTGACCTTGCTTGTTATTCATCTAACAGGCTCATCAAGACCCCTCACTGCGTCCGAGGAGTTGAGTGAGAGCGAGATCTTCCTGGCGCACGCATTGGTCCCCCGGTCTGACAAGATGCGCGCTGCCAAAAGCCCCAGTGTTGGTGAGTCAAGGAAACCGATACCCATGCATGGAGTGGAGGACTCACACATCACTGCAATAGAGTCCACGAACACCGTCGCACGATTGACTCGCCGGACTGCAAAATCGTCTCAGCAGCCTGTGCAGCCTGAGGACCCTGCCGAACGCGAAGACTCTGAGAGCAGCCTCAGTTCTCTGGGCGGACGTACTAACACTGGTGACTCCAGCGAAGATGCGAACTCTGGGGCTGGTGATGACCTGGACGAAGACCTGGATGTCGATGATTTTGCCGCCTCCTTCGACGCCGAGGTCAGTGCGCTCTCCTCCTAATCCTATCCTAGCTTGAGAGCAGGATTGCTCACCATGGTGTATACCTAGCGCGTGTCCTGGAACGAGGAAGTCCAAAAAACGGTGAGTTCAAAAGGGAAAGGTAAGGCTCCGGCGCACGCGACTGGTTCGGGCAAGGGACGTCAGATGTACCAGGTACCGCTCGAGCTGTTCGACCGCTCCTCGGGAACGGAGTTTGAGGATGAAGAAGAAGACATGTTGATCGAATCCGGACGCCCCGATGGCAGCAAAGAGGATGGTAGCGAAGAGGTGGACAGTGGAGGTGGAGGGGGACATGGGGATCCGCTGGCGGCGTGCGAGGGCAAACGCCGGGTGAACAAGGTTTGCACCCACTTGCGGTCTTTGAACCTTGTATACCTGTCACTGACGACCTGTGCTTTCGCAGGCACACACCAGCGCCCTCAATGACCGCCAACGCATCGAGGTTAGTGTACTCCTTCCATTACACATATATCAGCTTGTTCTCACAATCTACGTCTCTTACCGACCCCATCCAGACACCCATCTGGGCCGAAAGCCCTCCTTCGATCCCTGGTGCCTCGCGTACAGGTGGCAGCATTGCATCAACCCCCACATCTTTCGCACCCGTATCTGCCCCGTCTCCCCCTACCCAAGGAAGCAGTGCGGCTCCCGACGCCTTATCCACCCACACTGCGGCGGTCCCAGCCCCTGCGCGCACGCCGCCAGTTCAAGCCGCCCCGCACGATGCACTCCTCACTCTGCCGCTCCAAGACAGTCCTGCCCTTCAACCCCCGGATTCCAAATGCTTTCCCCCTGGCTTCTACACACTCATCACGGCCGTTCCAGGAGGGACTGTGCTCCTCAATCCACAGCACCTCCATATCCGTAGCATGGTCAAAACTGCCATTCGTCGCCTTGATGTCTTCCTAGTCGTGGACAACGCGTTTCCGGACCAGCTTGCCGCCGCGCGATTCATCGGCATCGCACTTGTTGAAGCCTCGCAAGGTCATGGATATCTAGGACTAACGCAGCGACTCAGAGAGGACGAGGATTTCTCGAGTCGCCTTGTTGTTCTGGTGAGCCATCTGACGCGCTGTCGCATTCTAAGTATTTTATATTCTCTGATTTCTCGAATTGTCGCGCACTTTATAGACCAGGCAGCGTATAAGTTCATTCCGTCTAGCCATCAAGAAGATCGCCGAATCCAATGCGGAGGCTCAGTACAATTTGTCCGCTTCCCCAACAACTGCCGATCGCATCGCTATTCTCACCAAGTGGCTGGTATACATATACCCATTCACTGAGCCAGTACGTCTGTCAATTTCATATATACATCTATATGCTGTTCCTACTTCCTCATGATACACTTCGCCTCCAGGAGGGCAAGCTCACGGTTCCTTATAATAAGCCTTACATGCACGAGTGCATCGTCATTGTACTGCGTAACATGTTCTTCGTCGGGCCGCGCTCTTTGATCAACTTGTCTCCGGAGATCTTTACTTCAACACTTCCTCAGCGCCCAGACGAGCGCGAAGTCCCTATGGTCATGCTCGCCCTGGTGGGTACCGCGGTAAGTAGAAATTTGTCATACAACCGCTTGATCTCCCGCTTACTATCCTGCGCAGATACATGCTGCCCTCTCCGGTTGGAGGCTCGGCTTCCTCGACCCGCAAGCATTCTCTGCCGATGCATATGTTGATGCGTACAATGAGCACATCACTCTTCTCACCGGTATCAAATCCCAGAACGCGCGTGGATACCACACAATGATGCATCATCTCTTCACACGGGCCAGGTATGCCTCCTTCGTTCATCAATCTGCTGTAGCTAACCAGGGTTGCTTGATTAGCAATTCTGTCGCCCCAAGTCTCGTTACAAACACCTCAAATACTGCGTTGTCTCATGTCGACTTCTCGGCGATGGAAATAGACTAGGTCCCGGTGCCCTATATCCTCTCTCGTGCCTGCTCCCTCATCACAATCATTTCATGCGTCCTGCATCCTCTCCTCCCCTTTGCAATTCATTCTCTCATCGTCATCTATGGTAATGATCATTCCCGGCGTTCGGTATCCCTCTATAGCTTCATCTTTAATACCGTTGTTCATGGTCGTTTAGACCATTCGCGCTACCAGGATGATACCCAGCGCGCAGTAGGTACTGCATAGTAGTACCTGGTGTTGCACATGATGCCCTATTGGTGTAGTCGCGCCTTTAGCAGTCGAGTAAAGCAATCAATAGCTGTCCTCGCAAACTTTTGTGTGAAAAACTGTATCTATTGAGGGACTAATACGTGGCTAATACAGGTGATGCCGCGATAAACGGACGGCCGCTAATCGAACTAATGCCGCCATACTCGGGGCAACCACTAATCAAGCTAACCCTTGTCTTGCAGATGCTACGCGAACTTTTTTAGCAGGGCACTTATCATATTAGACTAAAGCACTAATGCTGCTTCTTATCACTAAATCAGCTCGCTTACTTCGATTAGCTGAGGCAGTTTTTCCTGATGCTCGTAGATCCCAACGGAAACGTGCGTCGCGGGCGTCCGCCCGCTCTAGGGGCGGGGGAGTTCTGACGGACGGCGGGGACACCGCCGAACGTACACCTGACTGGCGCAAGAGGCGAGACCCAGGGGCGCAACCGCACCCAAAGGCCGCAGGTTTATAGCCCGTTCCCTTGCCTTCAATGGCCAGGACTGGACGGACGCCCGCAACGCATTCTTCCTGAGCCCTGCCCCCTTTTACACACTACTTGCGTACTCGAACGTCTCACTCTCGCCCCTGTCTGTACCCCGGCACGTCCCCTTGCACCATCCCTCATCGATATCTCCTCCATTACACACCCTTAGACTGCATGAGCATCCTGCTCAATTATGTACCGTCGACCCCTTTTACCACACATGTAGACAGGATTGTATTTACGGCCTACCATGAGGCTCGGCCTCGCAGGGCAATAAACGGGATCTAGAAGAAGAAGAAGAAGAGGATGAACACGTTGATGAAGCAGCTGCATGGAGTGATGGACTTACTTAAACTCGAGCGAGACAATGTCTCGGTTTCTGGGTGTCCTCGGGGAAGGCAATCTTGCCGTCTTCCATCTGGTGAGGTATATTGGCGACTTCGTAGAGCCTCCGAGATGTCGAAAGTTGCTCGGTGATTGAGCTCGCCTGATCAAAATGCGCCATGTTGTGAACGAAAACTTCATGTAGTCTGCTGAAGCAGATTCAATGGACGGGCATGGACGCCGAGTACTAGATGGTACAGAGGGTGAAGATGACCTGTGTCAGCGCTCGTAGCGGATCCTGTAAAAAGCTGAGGAAGCCGATTCCGCTGTTTGCTCCTTTATTCACGGCGGACTCGCTAGTGATGGTCGACCGCATTGTCAGAGCTGACTCGTTGAGAGACTTCCTTGGAGTTGGGGCTGGAGGTCAGAGACATATACGATGAAGAGGTCACGTATAACCGCCTCACCTGTCATCATGAACTCGGCGAAGTTGCTTGCGACAAACTCCTTCAAGTATTCCAAATTACTCACGGCGTACTTCCTCCGCATCATCTGGGTAAATTTTTTGTCCTTCATCGTCGCGGCACATATTACTACCATAAACGTAAGTCAGCCCCCCCCACTTCACACGAATACTCAACTCAGCCCGACCAACAACCACCCGTCCCTCCGTCCGCCAAGCACTTGTGCCAACATTCCTACCTGACTGACGACCTGCACTAGCGTCCACACGATCCCCGCGCCCATCACGAGTGTGTCGTGTGAAACCTGCGATCGATGACGCCTCTTCTAGCTCTGCACTAGCGAGTCCTCGGATGTCGGGAGGTCGAGCCGCGCACGCGCGCGGAAGAGGTGCAGGATGTATTGAGCGCGCAGAAACTGCGGAGAGAGGGAAGAGCATGGTGGTTGAGGAGGCAGTGCGCGATCATCGAGCATGCGCCGCGCCTACGCTGATGTGGAACAGCACGGAAGCTTCGACTGCGGGTGTCGATGACAGTCTCACTGGCAGGCTGCGAGGCAATATTTTTCAGCTCGAACTTCGCTTTGGTAGGGTTATCGAGGAGGCTGTTGGGAGCGCACGACGCAAAGCAGATTACTTGAGAATATAGAGCAAGCCTGGCAATAGTGTATTCCTACCTGAGCTAGTCGCAAGCTCACTCTAGGAGAGCATCCCCCGCGCGATGATCCCCTCAGAGATTATACCGACAGAGGCCTCTGGGTTGCAGTGCGAACAGCGGAGGTAAGCCGCAGGACGGCTGGCTCGTGTTGCGTGCGTCGCCTAGGAACCTCACGGGCGAACTCTGCTCGCGCATCGGCAACCTCGGGGGCCGATGATAGGTGCGACCCGGTACGGGCCTAGATATCAAAGGTGGCTGGCGTGAGTAAACGTCCACGGACAAGACGTAAGTAAAACAGCAGCACAGAGCCTCAATCGCGCGAGGGAGGTGCCGCAACAACCACTCCGCATGCGCCTTATGGACCTTAGCAGGAACCGGTGTGGATTCCCAAGAACGCGAAACAATGCTGCGCACGATACGAGATACAGGAAAAAGACGTACTATATCGAATAGTTGGCCAGAACACCATGTTCGCGCTCAGCAATGCTGTCCCTCCCCACGCCCTCGCCAGCGTTGAACTTGATCATCGCCATTTCTAAATAGAGTCGATGACGGTGCTGTACAAGATCATGGGAAAGTCTAACACGATAAGAAGCGGAATGGATGCAAGTCCTCACCTTTCACAAGGACCCAGCATCGTGAGCTTGGGCGTCCGTAGTCTCGGAGACACTGTCTCCTAAACCGACGATCGACACATACTTCTGCATATTTTCCTCTGCTGTACCATCCCAACTCGTGCCCTCTATCACGCAGGCCTTCCACGACGGCATTGTATGCTGAAATGCGAGTATCTTCGCGATGAGATCATCGTCAACTGGGGCAAGGCGTCTCCATCCGGATGTCCCCGTACCAGCAGCTTCCAGAGACGGAACCTGTGTCTCGACTGGCGATGATGGTGAGGGCAATGGCACGTCATGCTTATCGGGTTCAGGATCATGTCTAAATTTGCCGGTTGCGTCTACCACACCATCTGACGTGATCCAATCTTGCCAGTTAATTTCATCAGGAACGTGGGGATCGGGTTGGAAGGGCCAGGCCGCGCGGACGCGCACTTCGTGGATGATGAATGCGCTCGGAAATGGCACATGGCGATGTTGAATATCGAGGGCAATCGCTTTGCCATGGTGCTCCTGAGCTTCGTGTCTGTTTGAGTGGTTGATGAAGATGAACTTGCGTGTCTGGCCCCTGTCAGTGCCCTACCCAAAGCTCTGTGCCCGCGTAGATTGTACTAACCTGAGGGTCAAAGCGTATAAAGGCATCAAGGGAATCAAACATTTTATGGTGGTTTGGGCACATCAGGATTCCATTTCGGGGCTCGTGCTGGACACGATGTTTGGCCTGCTCAGGAAGCCAACGGCGGGCTTTAAGCTCTGCCCACTGCATGACGACACCCGCCCTCGTCAGCTAGATATTTGACGAGTGACTGATAACAAACCAGCTCTGGTTTTGACTGTGGGATGATGTGACAATGCTCAAGATAGAGACCGTACCCGCAAACGACGCAGCGGTTTTTTCCAGAGAAGATGTCACGCTCATTTAGTCCGGTATCGAAAGCAGTGGAAGTGGAAAGCGTAGAGAATTCACGTTCTAGCCAGCCAAACCCAAGGGGAGCGTCGAAGGGTTGCAGAGGCAGCGGGAACGCAGACAAAGGTGGCATGGTGGTAGAAGTCAAGGCAGGTAAGTACGATGCGGGCTAGCGCTACGTCATTGTACGCGGTTAGCTGATTTGGCTTATGTAAGTCTTTGGGAGACCTCGACGGTCCACTGCTGGTCGTCGAGATATCGATACATATGGTGTCGTTGTCTCCTGCGGTAATGTGCGCTCTCAACCTGTTGGAATGCCTATCGTTCAGTGCACGCTCTTCTAATCGCTCGTACAGCCCGCTTTCTGGCTCGCCCTCCTAATACTAATCTTGAGATCGGCGTCCGACGGTCGACCTTCAGGCCAACCATACGTGTATTTACAAGACAAGAATCTCTCTCCCCCTCTCTCTCGCACCTAGCCGAGTCCGGTTCACAGGCTCGTAACAGAGGAAATCGAGACTGAGGACGTGGCAGCCAATGGAAGTGACCCCCCCACTCGGAAGGACACAGCGCACGCACTCAGCTTGCGGCCTCGTGCGCGCGTCGCCAATCATCCGCTTTCTCCGTCGACGATTTTAGATAAGTTTCCCTCTCTCTTGACATCGTGAATTTGAGTACGATTGAGCATCTCAAACTTCGGAGGACTGAGATGGCCGATGTATGCACGGTTATAGATTGGAGGCGATGGAGTTAATCAAGAAACTTACCTGCATAAGTCGTCATGTACTATCCTTACAATCGGACTTGGGGGCGGGCTTGGCCTGAAATCTGGACCGGGCTGCCAGGTTTCCCATGGCTCACGGCGTTCGTCCTCGGACAGTTCGCGTGAACGGTCGATAACGACGTGCAGGAAGTAGTGCGACTGCCCTGCGTAGTGGAAGCCGAGCTCCACGGTGATCTTGCTCGTGCCAAGGAAGAAAGCGAGTTTCTCCGTGCTGGAAGTCCACTGCCACGGCGCCACAAAACTCTGCCACTCCGCGAAGCTGGGAACAGCCTCGATCTCCTCGACCGAGTGATCAACGGGCCACGACAAGCTTGCATAGGCCTTGATCCTCAACTCGTGGGTGATAGGGGCAAAAGTATGCTGATACTCGATGGTGATCTTGTAGGACTCTCTTAAGCGTGAGAGCGTGAGGCAGTGAGTAGTCGCATGGCTCGGATCTGGGCTTTGCAGTTCCGCTGTGTACCCCTCGGTGCGTAGAGCATCGCAAGTCTTCTTCCGCAGAATTAGGTTGATCGTCTCGTTGAAGTCTTCGTTGAAACTGTGGGAAGGTCTGCCGGTAAGCGCCGGAAGGGATATGTATACTGTCTTCAGCAGGATGCTTCCGCGACAGCGCGCAATGATTGTCGGCGACAGGGGGACAAGACTGAAACCGCTAAGAAGCGAATAGTCCCGATGGTGTATGTCCAAGTTTTTGCAGTACAAGTACTCAACACCTGAGTCTGAGGGAGGGATGTAGCAGACACGTCCGAGAAGGGCACCAGGAAGCTCACTGTGCTCACAGCCGAGTATCGCAAGATACCATTGGGGTTGGGGAATCTCCTCGGTATACCACACTGCAGTATCAGAGAAGCAGTGAGGAAGCGATATCACTGGTATCTGCATCTGTATGCCGTGGGGGGTGGGGATGTATTGTGCCGCTGGGAGCTGGGGAAGCTGGAGACGGCGGTAGACTTCGGCATGAGGCACAGCTCTGACTCCACAAGCGTTCGATAGAAAGGAAAGATTGGGCGCAATCATGGATTCGAGCATGTCATCTACTGCATTCGCCTGAAGCGACAGGTGATGGACGAGATAACGGCTGTTTTCAGGGATCATCCAGACTCTGCCCCATGCAAAGATGCTCTGGTCCGGTACTCTCCGCATAATCTCCTCTTGCAGCCGGCGGAAAGAGCGTAGACCCTCGCCATACAGCGTGGTCATATTGATGTCAAAGATCCCGAGAAGCGAGTACGCGTGGTCCTCAACTCTCGTCGTCTCCCGCTGGGCAGCCCACGACAGTCGCTGGGCCACACTGAATTCGTCGAGCGACTTGAGGTGCAATAGCGCCTCATCCGCAATCCCAGTGATGTCCTCGATGACATCAACGAGCATGTGCTTTGTTCCAATGAATACCCAGTCGGTGGAGAGGAACGTCACCCTACGCGGTGCGACGAGCTCCTGGAGTGTCCACCCGCGTTTGTACCATCGGCTCTTACGGAAGGCGGAGTTTTTTGCACGAGGATCCTCGTCAGAAGGAACATCGGCGAGATATGCATAGCACAGCGTGGAGCGACCGTACCACTCGTACATCGAATTGATTGCCTCCGACAGCTCGGAGCTGCTCGACTTGTCGATGCAGCTCGAGTCGATCCAGAGGTAATCGTATCCAGCCTCGCGCGCTACCCTACATGCCTCTCGGACCTTCGATGAGAGGTCGGGGTCATGCCAGATGCAGCATCGGGTCATGCTCGACTGGCTGCCCCTGGCTGAAAGAGGTGGATCTTGGATAGGATTCACGACGAGGCCAGGAGTTTGCGAAGAGATGTTAGGAGATGGAAGTTCTGGTAGATCCTGAGATGGGCTTGAAAGAAGGGAGGCAGGAAGAAGGAAAAGTAGGCGGACGAAGTGGAGGAGCTGATGCAGGGGGCGACTCAGCCGCGAGCCTCCGGAACTCGTCGCAGAACCATTCTCCACCGAGCCCTCCCCTTCCGCCAACCTAGTACTAGCCTTTCCGTCTGGGTGTGTGACGGGAGAGAGGGCATGGGTGGTGTCCACGGACGCATGGAATGGATGTTGGGTGAGCGAGCCATGCTCGGAGGCGTCTGACTGGGCTGCTGGAGGGGATGCAGGAGCGGGTTGAGGCCCAGACCCGCTCGCGGCGCCACGTCGTGAACACAGAGCTTTCAGATTAGGCGTGTTCAATTCTTGTCGCTCGCTCATTTCCTCGCGCGCCTACCGGGCGTCTGCCTACCTGGATTCAAGGTCAGATCAAGCGCCTGTAGCACAGCCGCACAGGCAGCGGGTGCAGCGAGATCGACGTTTTCGTCCTATGCTAGGTTTGTTATGCCCAGAAAATCTGTCCAGAAAGTGGATGGAGACGTCGGAAGAACGTTATAGACTTGTTGACCGAGAATAATTGTACACAATGCGCCCAAATCGGAACCAGATTCGGCACGACACGGTTCACTGGCCACCTGGGGTTGCCACTGTAAGCCTGATGGCAATTGGACTCAAAACCTTGCGGGACGACTCCGCGTCTCGAGTCATGGAGCTCTCTATCTTTCAAATCGTTAAGCTTTCGCGTCGCTCCTCAGTCCCAGCTCGCGACCCTCATGCGGTCGTGTTACACCCGCTGCCTGCGCACCTCTGCTCGCTGTGCTACAGGCGCTTGATCTGACCTTGAATCCAGGTAGGCAGACGCCCGGTAGGCGCGCGAGGAAATGAGCGAGCGACAAGAATTGAACACGCCTATTGTAGCGCGTCTGGATCTCCCTCAGCCCCGTAAACGTCTGTTCGCCTTCCTCATTCCACGTATGCGACAAGATGGCATATCTTGTCGTCTCGGGGGGTCGCTCGACGAACTCCCCGGTTTCCGTATTCAAGAAGCGCATTCGGTCACCTTGTTAGTGTTAAAATACGGAAACCTATTGTCGTTAGCAATGTCCGAGCACTCCAAATGCTGACCACTGGGAGGGTATCGCTTCTGGATCTCCCTGAGTTCCGTATACGTCTGCTCGTGCTGACCCCAGGTATGCGATAAGATGGCATACTTCGTCTCCTTCGGATCTCGCTCAACGAACGCCCCAGTGTTAGTATCAAGAAAGCGCATGGTACCTCTTCAGACACTGCGGTGAAATAGTGGTCAGTGAACTCCATATAGAATCTATGCGGTCAAACCAACCGTTGGACAGAGGAAATGCTCGCTGGACTGTAGTACGACGGCGAGGAACTCGATGGGTCGGTAGCTAGCCAGGACCAGTGAGAGCGAAAACGGAGAGATGTGAGGTAGCGCAGAGTCAATGGACTTCCAAGGCTGGTCTGAAGCCTGGCACTAGTGCGCGAAGGACCGATGAGGGTACGCAGAGCTTAGCTGGCCGGAAGCATTGCCTAAATATGCGGAGGCCTTGTGCTGATCAAACTTCTTGAACATGCCTCCAAATGAATTGAACCGATTATGATAAGCCATACAGCACCGCCCCCTGTCAATGCAGTATTAATGTCAAAGTCATCGGCGCTGAGCGTTGAGCACTGATATCTGAATCCTGCCCGAAGGATAGCGGGGCAGTCCGTGTGAAGAACTTGACACAGCGCTTGGCTGCGCTGCCCTGCATGAAGCTCGTAGGCACAGCAGGAATGGGGCCAGCGCCGATTGCAGTCCAAGGCATGGAGCAAGAACCAATGAGCCCTCTGAACAAGTGGCGATCCTACTCTGAGTCCAATGTGCACGGCGCCGATAGTCTGAATGCGCGTTCGACATTGTGAGACATCGATCTGTAGATCGTTCGAGTAAAGAGGGAAGCGTCGTCAACACCTTGATATCGAGACTAGTGCTTGTACTCACAATACATACTACATAGGTCCTACTCATCCTCTTCGTCGGACAAGACAAGGCGGGCTGTCCTTTTCTTCGCGACGCCACGTAGAGCCTCGAAAGAAGGCAGTTCGTCATCAGAAGGTGCTTGTGAAGCGTTTCGCAAGCCAGAGACCGGACTCCCAATTGAACGAGGAATCCCAGGAGACGAAGCGCCCGCAGCAGGAGAAGACCTCGACACCCTAGCCCGAGGTCGAGGACCGGGCTTAGGCTTGGATTTGGACGCGGCCTCGTCGTCCGCCGGTGGCGACGTATCCGGGGTAGGCTCCGACGTCGCCCTCTTCGGGCTACCGAACACATCCAGCTCGCTTTCCTCCGCGTCACTCTTGTCCTGTTCCTTCTCCGCCGCCTCGTCCTCCCCGGAAGCGCCCTCTTCGCCGTCGCCCGCGCCGTCCTCCGCTCCGTGTTTCCTCCGTTTCCGCTTGTCCTTGTCCCGCTTGTCCTTCCTCCTCCGCTTCCGCGTCCCATGCGAGCGCATCGTCGCCACATGCCCCGTGGACGCCGCGAGCGCGGCCGTCTTCTGCCTCAGCGCCCGCTCCTTCTCCAGGAACGCGTCCATGTCGCCCATCTCCACGTCGCTGTCGACGATGAACTCGGCGGACTTGTACTGCTGCTTCTCCTTCTTGCGCTTCTCCTTGCGCTTGTTGTTTCGCAGCTCCGCGATCCCGTCCTCGTCGTCCTCTGCGTCGGACTCGGGCTGCTTGCGCCGGGTGCGGCGACGGCGCTTTTTCTTGAGGAGTTCGGCGGGCTTCTTGCCTTGGAGGTCAATTGGCGTCTCGAGGTACTGGTTGATGGTGTTCAGGCAGCGCTGCAACTCCTTGGGGAGGATGACGGAGGGGATGTACCACTCGAGCTCATCGGCATCTGCACGAGGAAGTCAATGATGAGTCTGTAAGAGGGGACGAGACGCGATTCGATCGTACCTTCGTCCATGATTTTGAAGTTGCAGAGACGGAAGAGCAGCTTCAGATGGGGATTCTTGTTGGCCGCGTCCGCCTCTTCATCGCTGACGTACGGAATCACTACAAGAGGGCGCAGCGTTCAGATAGGCTCTCTTTCGTGGACCCGAGGAGACTCACGGTAATCGTTGATCTTAGCAAGAGCCTCGGCCGACGGCCCGCGGAGACCCAGCACCGCGTCCATCGCGTCCTCGTCCTCGCTGTCCATATTGCTCAGGTCGATCGTCTTCGACGACGACCCGTCCACGCTGTCGATGATGCGCTGCCGGTGCGCGATGCACAGCGTCAGGATCTACCACACGTCCGCCAGTCAGCCTTTTTCGCAACCCATGACGGCGAGGACGACGAGCAAAGACCGTCGCGCGCACCTGCTTCGTCCACTCGATGAGCACCATCTGGCCGTTCTCCGTGAGCGCGGCCATCGCGATGCCCATCTGCTCGCTCGGGGAGTACCCCTTCTTGACGTACAAGTCCTGCGGGAAGCGGGTGTCGAACGGCACGCCCTCCGGCCGCGGGCCGATCACGTCGAGCTCCTTGCTCGAGAACTGCTTCCAGTGCCCGCGGTTCTTCGGGAAGAACGCCTGGACCCCAAGTGCGTCAGCGCCATGTCATAGTAGGCAAACGAATGGGACGCCGTGCGGACGAGACACAGACCTCCACGAGCAGGAACGAGTCCTCCTCGGCCGCCTTGAAGAATCTGCGCAGGATGAAGTTGATGAGCGCGACGAGGTCCTTGTACGGCTGCTCGCGCGGGAGGCTGCGCTCCTCGGCCATGATCTGCTTGAAGAGGTGCAAAGTCGAGACCATGAAGTAGAGCCCCTCTGCCTTCTGCCGCACGGCCTGGCGGTGCATGAGGTTCACGACGCGCTTCATCTGCTCGGGCTGCGTGAAGTCCTTGTACCGCGCGAGGTACGCGAGGAGCGTGCGCGTGATCTCGGGGTGCGCGAACCGCTGGGAGGAGCAGGGAGGTCAGCTCTGTCCAGCAAGACGGGAGGCTGATCAGCCCAAAGCGCACCTGCTCGAACTGGTCGAACGTGAACATCGTCTCGTTGATCTCCTCCTCCTCCCCCTTCTCCTCCTCCGGCTCGTCCTCCACGTCAGGCACGCCCTCGCCCTCAGGGACACCGCCCTGCCCGCCCCTCCGCTTCTTCGGCCGTGCCCGCTTCCTCACATACACCTCGCCCGTCCCCTTGCGCCTGCTCCACCGCTCGAGCATGCGCAGAAGCGCGTACGCAAGGCCCACCGCGGCGTCGAGGTACGCGAGGCTCTGCGTGCCCTCCTTGTACGTCCGCACGCTCTCGAGCGCGATGTCGAGCACCTCCCCGTTGTACAGGATCTGCTGCTGGAGCAGCCGCGCAGCGTCCGCCACGTCCGCCTCATCCTCCGCCTCCGCGGCCTCCGCGTCGGACGGGTTGTGCTTGGGGGGAGGGGGCGGCTCGGACGCCATCGTGTCGAGCGCGAGGACAAACTGCGTGAGGCACTCGACCCCGGCCTGGAGCTCCGTCCAGAGCTTCGGCTGCAGGCATGCGATGGCGCGCGGTCAGCATATACCTATACGCGCGGGATGTACGCGTCGGCGCGAGTGTGCGCACCTTCTCCTCCTGCGCCTCGCGCATCCGGCGGAGGACCCAGACGATCCAGCCGCGCTCCGTGACCTCCGCAACGAGCCCGAACTTCCAGCGCGCGCCCTCGGGCTGGCACGCGCGCGTGCAGAGGAAAAACTCGAGGAACCACTTCGTGGCGAAGAGCAGGCGGAGGTTGTCCTTCTCCGTCACCTTCGCGCGCTCGGCCTTGATATCTTTGAGGAGCGAGGAGAGGAGGGCTGTGCCGGGCCGTCAGCACTCGTGCGTGCATACCGGTAGAGACAGAGAGATGGAGAAGGGAAAGAGAGAGAGAGGAGACGCACTGTTAAAGCAGCTCTCGACGAACGAGCACGCGAAGTTCCGCAGGACCATGCGCGCGTCGAGCGAGAGGTTGTCGTCCCTGCCCAGCTCGTCGACCTTCTTCCCCTTCGGGGCCTTGTGCTTCTTCGCGCGCGCCATGTCGAGCGCGGCCCCCGAGTCTGTCGTCAGCGAGGCCTGGCGGTGCAGGACGTACGACCGCGACGACGGGCCCGCCTGCGTGTCCGCGCCGGCGTCGGGCGGCGCGGAGGCGGTCTTCTTGGGGTTGACGGTGACGGAGATGGTGGTGCCAAAGCGGGAGTGGCGCGTGTTGGCTTTGCGGGCGAACTCGCGGCGGCGCTGGTCTTCGGCGGCGAGGAGGCCCGCGAGCGTCCTCGACGATTGCTGTCGACGAAGAGCTCAGGTGAGGAGATGAGCAACAAAGGAGACACGGGGACGCACCTTTGCCTGGTCGCCCGCAAGGTCCGCGGGCTTGACGCCGCGGAAGAGGAGGTAGAGGATCTCGAGCACGAGGGTGTTCCACTGGTTGAAGAGCGGGTCCTCGGCCGCGTTCGCGGCGATCGTCAAGAGGAGGTCGGTGAAGTGCGCGTCAGCGAGGCCCTTGACGAGGCGGGACTGAAGGGCGGCGAGCTCGGCGTGGTCCGCGCTCGCGTGCGTGTTCGCGGGGAGGTCCTTGATGAAGGCGAGGTTGCGGACGAGGTAGAGGACGACGTTGACGATCTGCACGTCCCGCTCTGTGCGCTCCTTCGCGTCGCGGGCGAGGCACGGGAGCGTGATGGCGAAGAGTGCCTGCAGCACGCCGGGGCGCAGCAGCGCTGCTTTGTAGTGGAGGTGGCTGAGGAGGAGTTGGGTGTAGTCCGCACCCTTGTCGTACGTCTCGTCGAGCTCCTTGAGCTCCTCGGCGAGGTCGATTGGCCAAGTCATCGCAGTGATGAGGTCTGCGCATGCGATGGCGCGTTTGTCTTCGACGTGGCCCTTGCCGGCGGTCTCGAGCAGGATGGGGATGAGGTCGTTGGGGAGGACACGGGTGGCCCAGAAGATGCGGGCGACGGTGCGGTCGTCGTCAGTGTCGTCTTTACGCCAGTACTTCTTGAGGTCTTTGAGACAGCCGTAGCACTCGTCGCCGAGGCGGTATTGGCCGGCTTCATACCCGCCAAGGGCCTCGACGACGCTGCGGATGGGGGGCTCGAGGATGGCGCGGCGGTCGACATAGGGCTCGTCGCCAGAGTCGTCGTCGGAGAGTTCTATGGGGTCGTTCATGCTCGTCTAGGGCAGGTGAGATCGGTTGAGAGGAAGGACGCGGTCGAGGAGACGACTTGGACTGCTCGGCCAACTCGCACGTCCGTCACGCAAGCCCAGCATCGCGTGCTGTCACACTGTTATGCGACGCGCCTGTTGTCTCGGCGTCTACTTGATGGAAGATGCCTCCTGCTCAGTGGTCCTCATCGACATCCCTCCATAACATTACATCTTGCGCGGATCCCCTGCAATTTCTCCACCTATTTGAGCTTGGCAACCTTGACTACTTGATGCCAGAGGGGCCCATCGACGGTCGCACAAATGATATATTGCGTTCATATCATGTATCAAGTATCCATGCCGTTCGGAGTAGGCTCATGCAACCTCCGCTACTCTTGCTCAGTCCTGGCGATAACGCCAGCCAGCCTACATGCACTCCCAATCGACGCGGAATATAGCTAGTGGGCACCCTCCTCCTTTGCAAGAATCTCTCCGAGTCGTGCAACGTGGGAATGAGTCAACGTAAGGAGTACTTGGGTTCTGATCAGTGCCCACCCGTGCCCATGTCAGAGCTATGATCCGGCACGTATGTAGGTGAGGGTGGGCGTCGATTTGTGCACGTGTGTGGGTGTTTTGGAACAGCAATCTACCAAGCCCCGCGGCTGTAGCTGCGAACCGACAATCTATGGCGATTCGTCCAGCTTGGGCCCGCGCTCACTATCCAGTGCCAGATTTGCCTCCAGTACCTTTTCATCCTCACTGATTCCGTCTTAGACTCGGCCTCTGCTGCGCGTCTGCCCCATCTCGGTATGTCGTCTCTCATCAGACATGAAAATGAAGTCAAAGCTGACCGTCTCTCGCACACGCAGGGTGGTCTGCCCCATGCGGGTCATCCACACGAGGACGGGACAGTTCGTCGACGTCCCCGACTTCAGGAAGGTGCGCTACGCCATCCTCTCCCACACCTGGGACCCCGGCGGAGAGCAAACGTGCCAAGATATCCGGCGGATCCAGGCGTCGTATGGCCCCGACGGTCAGCCTCGCGACCGTGCAAACCCTACCGCTCCCACCGCACACCTCAGCGTCCCGACTCCAGGCCCCGTGAACTCCGAGCCGTCCATCTTGGAAGAACCCATCCAGGAAGTGCCTCTCGCAGAGTCCGACCCTCCATCTCACGCCGGCAGCCCGGACATACCTGCGATATGGCGCGACCCCCGGCTCTCAGAGAAGGTGCGCAGAGCATGCGAGGCCGCACGCGCGGACGGGTACGACCTCCTGTGGATCGACTCGTGCTGCATAGACAAGACGAGCAGCGCCGAGCTCTCCGAGTCCATCAACTCGATGTACATCTGGTACGGCGCGGCCCACGTCTGCCATGTCTTCCTCGCCGACGTCCCGCGCGGCGACGACACGGACGCGAAGGCGTCCCTGTTCCGCACGAGCAGGTGGTTCACGCGCGGGTGGACGCTGCAGGAGCTGCTCGCGCCCGAGGACGTCCGGTTCCTCGCGCAAGATTGGTCGTTCATCGGCTCGAAGGCGGGGCTGGCGGTGGTGCTGGAGGAGCGGACGGGGATCGAGCTCGAGGTGCTGCTGCACAAGCGGTCGCTGCACGACGTGAGCGTCGCGAAGCGCATGTCGTGGGCGGCGGACCGGGAGACGACGCGCGTCGAAGACCGCGCGTACTCGCTCCTGGGCATCTTCGACATCAACATGCCCGCGCTGTACGGGGAGGGCGAGCGCGCATTCCGGCGGCTGCAGGTGGAGATCCTGCTGCGCATCCCCGACCAGAGCCTCTTCGCGTGGACGGCGCAGCCGAGGATCGACTACGTAGGGCCGCGCATGCCTCTCAAGAAGTGGTCTTCGTACGACTTTCTTCCCAGCGCCACGCTCTTTGCGACTTCGCCGTCTGATTTTGCTGCCTCGCGATATATCTCTCCCAGACAAGACCAATCCTTCGTGGGCTTGTACCCGCGCTTTGAGTACGTGCAAACCCCGTACGGCATCCGCGCGCAGTTTGCGATGGCGCACCTCAAGAGCCGTGCAGCCGAACCCGAACTGGGGGGCTGGTACTTCCTCATCCTCGCCTGCAGAGACACCCACCGGGCGGACGGCCTGCTCGTCCGCCTGTGTCACCTGGGCCCGCGCATGCACAAAGGTGGCGGGAGGCTGCTCCATCTTGGACAGTTTGCGCGCAATCGCACAGAGGCGGTTAGCGCTGATCTTCCCCTTCCTAGAGGAAGCTTGTTCGCTCTCCCCAGTGGCATAAGGGCCAGCATGAAGACAGTGTACATTCCTGGCGACTACACCAGCCGCCTCCCGGCTTTGCCAGAACCTACAGGCGCGTCGCCGTACAACCGTCTGTATCCCTCGTACTTCTGGTCGACTCAGAGACACCTGGCCATCATATCGCTATCGCCACGTTCCCGGGCTATCCTCCACAGTCAAGGATACAATGTCGGATTTGACGGCCGCCATATCACTCAATGGAAACTTCAACTGTCCCGCAGCGATATAGCAATGGTGCTCGACTTCCGTCCCACCCGAGGGGAGACCCCTTACCTCTATGTCACGGCCACCGCACCCTCATCTGGCCGCACCCGCTCCGCCGCCCTGCTCGGTGTCCTGGACTGGAGGTTCGCGCCTCAGCAGCCATCTATCGTCGCGTTCCAGACACTGATCCTGACGACTGTTGCTGGGGCTCAACTGGACCTGCGGGTCATCCTCGAGACGACCACGCCCCTGCCCGCATACCACCAAAAGGTATATGTGAGCCTGAGACCGTCGCAGGACACCGCAGCCCCGGCCGAGTCGTTGAGCACGCTTGTCGCGTACAGGCCGCTTCCCGCCGGGCTTGAGCCCCTGCCTACGACGGAGACTGAGGAGCTCCCGACCTTGCCGGTCATACGACCCTTGCCCCCGAGGGCCAAACGCACAAGATTGCACCAACTCCGCGACTTCGTCTACGGGATATTCGAAGAATTTCGAGCGTTCCACGTGATGGTGTAGCGCGGGTCCCGCGTCGGGTACGGGAAGGCCGTCGACGTTGGCGCACTCAAGCTGCGCTGCTGTACGGCTGTTACCGTGTTCGTCGTGGGGTACGACGTTGGATTCCTGGTGACTGCATATCATATCGATAATAGACTTGGACATGATCATTTCCTGCGTTCATGTGTTGGACGCCTACTAGAGGTTACAGTATGGTGCAATGATCTTGAGCAGGCATGTACCCTGCTATACCGGCTAATTTGTGAACATGCTATCAATCGTGGACGCCCGCGTTTGGATGGACTCAAAGTCAGGCTATATTCAGCGCATGATCTCCCACATCGCTTTACTCAGATGATTTGCACAGACTTTCTTCGGGCTAAGCGTCGATCTGCCCCATGTCCTCCCCTCCCAGTCGCGTAGTGGCGTCACACCATAACTGAAGCAATCATGGTGTGCTGTCACGATGCCTATTGTCTTCGAGCGCGGGTTCTTTGATGTGAGCCGCCACCGCCTGGGCTGCACCGTTTGTTGACTGTGCTGAGGTCGTCTTACCTCCGACCGAAGCGTCTCTCATAGGCTCACTCGCTTTATATGTTGGCAAGGCGACTTCCCGCATCTCGGCACGACAACGTCGAGTCTCGCTGCTCTCCTCCGGATCACCCGCAAGAACTCGCCCTAGTCAAGTTTTTGTTTCTGTGAGTCGCATATCCTCTATATGCATGCATTCAGTGTTGTAATTGAATATGCTTGTATCGGCATGCGGACCCTCGGAAGCCTTTGGTGGACTAAGTCAACCAGCGGTGTCCCGGTGATGCACCTGTTCAGCCCGTAAGCTCTGCCACGGCCCATATCCGTTCTCCTTCCTTCTCCTCCCATCCGCCGCTAGCGTACTAGGTTCTCTTTTTAAGCAGCATGTACCAGGCGGCTGTGAATACGCCGTTTGAAGTTTCATCATGGTCTACATACGGCGTGAAAGGGAGGGCGGGGCGTGAAACGGTAAGTACATCCCTCGGGTTTTCCCATATTGACCCCTGGACGGAGTACGTTATATCCCTTCTCGATGAGATCTGAAACAATCCAGGTACTTCAGTGGGAGGTCTAACCACATGTAGCAAGCTTGAGGTACGTCGCGTGCAGCGTTCTATGCCGGCTTGCTTGCGAATGTGCTGATAGTGGACTATAGCATTCAGATCGAATCTCAATCCTATCCAATCACGCTTCATAGCAACGCTGTACACACAAAGTTGCGTACACGCTGCTATCCGAGCCTGTCAGGCATAGTACTCGTCAACATTATCGATAAAAGAATATAAATACTACCGCTAGGCAACAAGAACACTTATTTTCGTTAAACGAAATCTATGTACAGATTGGAACGCCAAGAAGGTACTCGTACACGTCCTTAAAGCCGTCCGAGAGGACTTTGCGCATCTACGCAATGCGTCTCACTCCGAGTCGCCTTCGTCACCCGGGCCCTCGACACTCTTCTCCAGGCTCGCTTCGCGCTCTTCCCCCTCATCGCACCACTCCCGCAGAATCGCGCTATCCACCGAGTCGAGCGTCTCGGGACGCGTATCATCGTCGACCCTTAGGATGTCGTCTCCACCTCCGTCATCCTCCACCACGGCGTTCAGGACGCCCGTTTCATAGTCGGCCTCTGGTCCCTGAAGCCCTTCCTCGTGCACCCGCTGGGGCGACGTGGCCAGCGGATCAGTGACAATGTCAGCGTAGATGAAGTAGCATGATGGCTCTGCCCAGTCGAAGCCGAGCTTCACAACCAGCTTCTTTGTGGCAAGGGCGAACACAACTTCCTCGGCATCAAGCGACGAGCACCACGGCTTACGATCCTGCCACCGCACAGAATTGGGCGCAGCCTCGATCTCTCCAGGCGAATCGCGGAGGGGTCGCGACATCTTCACATGAGCCTCGATGATCAACCCCCGACCGTCATCCTCGAGGGTATGCTGATACTCGACGGTTATCGTGTGGTCATCGCTAAAGAGGGTAAGCCGGTGAGTGGTTCTACGTTGGTATTCGTCAGGACGCCAGAGTTCCGCCCTGTACCCTCGGGCGCGCAGATCGTCACGATTCTTCTTCGGCAGTACCAGGATTATCGTGTCGTGCGGCTCCGTCCAAGAGTCGTCCGTCCGTATGCCTGCGCGCCCAGGGTGGGACACGTAGACGGTCTTGAGTTGTATGTGCTTGCGAACACGTTCGATGGTCGCCGGCGACAAGGGGAAGAGATCGGCCAATTGAGGCCCGCGACTTGGCTCCGGATCAATGTTCGCATGTTCACAATACAGGTACTCAACACCAGAATGCGAGGGAGAGATGTAGCAGACCCGTCCAAGGAGGGCACCCGGATAGTCGGTGTGCTCGCACCCGAGTATTGCGAGATACCATCGGGATTCCGTGTCGTAGTTTGGATACGTGATCGTGGAATGAGGTAGACAGTGGTCAATCAGTACAACTGGGAGGTGCGTCTGAATGCCGTGGGGGGTAAAGGTGTATTGCGGCGCAGGGAGTTGGGAGAGCTGTAGACGACGGAAGACGTCGTCGTGAGACACTGCCCTGATCCCACCACCGTTGATCAGGCTGGAAGGGTCCCAGGCGAAGAGTACGTGTCCAGATCGGTAGTCAAGCCTGATCACTGTATCGCCCCGAAGGGACGAGCACTGTGCGAGGTCCTGGCTCGGCTTCAGGTCCACAAAGACTTCCTCCCATGCGAACAGGCTCTGATCTGGGAATCGCCGCACAATCTCCTCTTGCAGCCGACGGAAAGCGCGGTCGCCCTCGCCATACAGCGGAGGCATGTTGATATCGAAGATTCCGAGAAGCGAGTACGCCTGGTCTTCGGCCCTGGTCGTCTGCCTTCGGGAAGCCCACGAGAGTCGTTGGGCTACGCTGAACTCGTCGAGAGGCTTCATGTGCGATAGCACCTCGCATGGAATTCCGGTCATCTCCTCGACGACGTCAACGAGTGTATGCTTCGTTCCGATGGTGTCCCAGTCCTTGGAAAGGAAGATCACCCTATGCGGCGCGATGAGCTCCTGGAGTGTCCACCCGCGCGAGTACCATCGGCTCTTACGGAAGGCGGAGTCTTCTGCACGGGGATCTTCGCCGGACGGGACGTCGGCGAGATATGCGTAGCAGACCTTTGAAAGGCCGTACCATAGGTACATGGAGTTGATCGACTCGGACAACTCAGTGCTGCTCGTCTTGTCGATGCAACACGAGTCAATCCAGAGGTAATCGTACCCAGCGTCGCGCGCCACCCGGCACGCGCCCCGAACCTTCCGTGACAGTTCCGGGTCGTCCAGGATAGAAGAGTCGGCCTGGAGAGGGGGAAAGGAGGAGTGGTCGGATGGGGAGCTGGGAGGCGACAAAAAGCCGGCTTGGGAGAAGCCTCGGTAGCGCGCCTGGACGAGCTGCAATTGGTCAAACGTCTGCTCCCTACTCCTCCATGTATGTGACAAAATGGCGTATTCTGTCTCCTTGGGATCCTTTTCGACAAAATGTCCAGTCTTGGTGTCCAGCAGGCGCATGATAGCTTTGCGGTCTGTGAGGCGAGCCATAAGTAGCGCGCGAGTACGAATCCATCTATACGGACCGGTAGACGTGGATTGGTGCGAGTTGGAGACGGGGAGGGGATATGATCGACGGTCCAGGTCCCTACAAGGACGATGATGTGAGCTGAGATGTGCCGGAGAAGTTGTCACAGCAGATCACCTTTGTTCTGCAGTTTCCCTGTCCCGGTACGTAGGAGTCCTATTAGTTGGTAGCAGAGCCCTCATCGATGATCACAGGATGACCACGTGGCACTGCGACACAGCCGCTCTGTTGACTTCGCAGCATCAAATCACATACGAGAGACACCAGTTACATACATCGGGCAGGCCCTGTAAATACGTTCATCACAAACTGGGCACCAAGGTGTACAGTGCCGGGCAGAGTGCACTGTGAGTTGCATAGACAATGGCGGTGAGCAAAGTTCGCGACTACGGCTGACAAAGGTCTCCCAAAGGACCGCGATAAGACGACGTCTTCTGTCAACCCTACGGAACACGTCCTCTAATTTGTATAGCACCGGGTTAACCGCGCGCATCAGCGCCGGATCTGCATCTCCGGCACAAAGCTGCACACATACACATGGCGGACGGATTAAGTTCACATCAACGGGACACGACTCGGTGCGTGGTGGGCGAGCCAGGTGCGGTCGTATGTGGAGGCTCCGGTCGTCTTGCCCTGAGGAGATGCGTTGGGCACTACGAACACCTTGGGCGACAGGGTCGCCAGCGGATGCCGACCGCACGGGCACAAGGCCGGCATGCATCCACGCGAGCGCTTAGGGGGATCAGGATAGGCGTCTGAGGGCTCACAGAGAAGAGGGACATCGCCCCTGCTACTCGTACAGAGCCGGTAGACGCAGTTGGCGGAGTGTCAGAGGCATCAGGGAGACGAGGTCCAGCGAGCGGACGATGTTTGCACGCAGGGGCCATGGGCAGATTGGGCGAGCGACCGGCCAAGACGCGATCTGCAAGGCCATCCTCGTGATGACCCACGGTGGCCCAGCGGTGTCTTTATACAATCCTGCTGGGAAGCGGCTTAGAGAACGCTCACTCTGCGCCACCATTCGCTCGAGGAACTGAGCGCAGGGATCCCGGGGTGTTGCGAAGGAACAGCGCGGGGAGGCGATGGCGGTACGATGGGTGTTCTGGGAGTCGTCGAAGCAGTCTCGGATTCTTCTCAATAATGAACCACAGACGACACACATGAAGAGCTCCGCCTCACCGTGCTCCATGCCTACCGTCTCGACAAGGCTATATCGCCATATCCTGTGTACCGTTTACACGGTTGGACCAGAATAAGCCGGGCCCATATTGGGTGTAGGAGCTCAGGAAATCGCGGGAGTCGGGATTGTGCCAGACGAACCTCCCGAGAGTAGAAGAGCCGCCGCCTGACAAGCTTGTGGCAGATGACAGTATTCGTGTAGTACGGTATATACGGCACGAATTGAGCCAGAGGGCGGTACTTGGGCATTACAGCAACAATAAACCGCTCTGCACACTGCACCGAGCAAAGCGCAGCACGCATGACGTGGGAAACTCACTGATAAGGCGCATGCAGAGAACAACTCCGGGGAGTGCAAACCGAAGATATTTCCGCAGTGACGTGAAGTTTAGACCGAGAGAGAGCGGCTCAGGTGATAGATGTAGGGGAGGGAGGCGTAAGAGGGAGGTAACAAAGGGGAATGGTCTGACCAAGAGCTATCAGAGCAAGACAAGCCCACACCAGAGCAGTGCAAGTGCGAGCCGGAGAAGGAGGTACACGCAGCAAGATGGGAGATGCACGCACCGTGCAGACCACATGGAAACGACCCCGAGCGAGACGGCAGAGCACGACGAGTGGAGAAGCTAGGGAGAAGCTAAGGTCATGCCAGGTCAGGAAACAGAAAGGAAAGGTAGAGGGCACACTGGCGCGACGCGTTCCTGACACCGTGGAGGGACAGTCATACATACAGCGAGGAGACACGCCACGCCAGCTCAAGCAGATGAACGGAAGCCAAGCAAGAGGAGGAGCAGAGCTGGCTGCGTACAGCGACCTTTGACAGCTCCCGCGCGCTCCGCACCCCTGTTCCTCTTTCATAGGCTCAACTTTCTCTTGTCCAGCCAGCGATATTCCGCCAGATTACCGCTTGTCCAGCCTTCGTGGATACCACAGAAAACTCCATCTCCTCCTGGAAAGATGGCATTCAGTCTCTGCTCTAACACACGAAGGACGCTTCGTAGACGTCGGATGGAAATTCCAATGAGACACCGAGGCCACAAAGGTGCGTCCTCGCTGCTCTCTTTCCCTCCTTACCTTTCTTTCCCACACATCCCTGCCTCCGCCAGCCGTGGTCCGTCCTACTGCCTGTGTACTCATATACAAATAGTACCGGCACCCACATCGGACAAGAAGTTCGAACTACTCTGTGTCTCGCTCATCGGGTTCATCGATGTATATGGTATCTGCGCTCTGACGTGGGGTCGTCATTGCAGCTGTCGTGCACGCTCGTGCACCCCAATCCTCCAAGCCGAGTCCTTTTCCTCCAAGCTTCCTAGCTTACACCACCTGGCACGCTTCCCGCCGAGTCTGCACTCTCCTTGACTCTCGGTGGCGACTTCTCCTCTCCTGCGCGTTCTCCGTCTCCACCCTTCCATGTCACGTCTCATTCCTCTTCGACTGGTTCTGGTGCTCTCCTTCCGAGTCATCCGCCAACTTACATCGACCTAACGCTCTTCTCCAACGAGCTGGAATCCATGTATCCCGGAAAGGGTCTTCTTTGCCCTGCCTACAAATTCCTTCCCATCGTTGCCGAGTGTCTGGAAGAGGGTGACGGCGAGGGGGCCAGGCTAGACAAGCCACGGAAAGATCGTGCTGATGTGGCGATCGCGACTGTACTTGGACGTTCGCATCGCCTCCACTGGGACGTTTTCCTCCACCCACCACGAGACTACTACTGCGATCTTCTCTTCTCGTGGCTTATAGGTCGCCTCGCCTCCATATCCGTCTCTCCAAAGGGCAAGGGAACTGTGCTCCTCACCGCCGCGCGACGCGGCTAGGGCCATCTCGACAACGCCGTGCGTTATCTGCTCAACAGCAATGTGACGCCCGATCAGGTGTCCCGAGCCCGTCTGGCTGCCCAGGGTACGGCATTCTGGCTCTGAGCCAATCCCACCATCGGACCCGGATGCTAGTCCTGCGTGATTCATTTTGGCCGATCTGCGTCATGCTTGCGCGTTTTACTCGTTGAACTCGTCTCGGGCTTCCCTAGCTCCGCGCCAACGGACCCTTCTTCTTTCCAGTCTCAGCCGCCCTGTTACCCTGGGACGACAAGGCCGCTTACAATAACCGCCCTCCTATGTTCTATACCGACTTCCCGTGGCGCATATGGCTTGAGTATTGTCTTCCATTCTTCCCCATCCACGACGCAACATTCGCCGTCCTTGAGCAGGAACTCACAACAGCCCGACTCGAAGGCCAAGTAGGCCTCCGAATAGGACACGGAACTGGCTGTTAGGCCGAAGAAGGGATGGACGCGCGATACGACCTAGGGTCGTATGCTACGCACAGGTCAGTTGCTTCTGGCGAACGAATTGTTTCACCTGCATTTTGGTCGCGGTACGTCTCATGTGGCTGGTCTTGCGGTATGGGGTCTGATATATCCCGTAAATTATAGAATACTGCCTCATCCTACACACACCATGGATCATGTGATGTACGTGCAAAGGATCTCAAGAAAACGTCGGACGGTGCTTTGGTCGTAACACTGCTGATGGAGCTATCAAGCTTCAAGTTTTGCCATCTTCAGCCCGCCCACACTGACATGCTCGTCCATCGCCGTGACCTGAGTACACAGCTCATCTGACGCTTGCCTCGGGGTCTTTTGCTGAGTGCGCGAGAGAGCCGGGTGACGTGGTGTTAGTGCGTGCGATCTGTATGGAGGCAACCTTACTACGCGAAAGTGCAACAGCGCCCGATCTCTCCCACGCCACAATGACTGCTTTCAGCGCCAGTGCCACGGATGTGTTGCAATCGCCGTCACTACACTCATGGCCAGGGCAGGCCTCCGGATGTCGTCGACTAGAGAAACGTCAATGCACAGGAGCGAGAGGGCGCGAATTCCCGTCCTGATCTGATGACTCGTGTCCAGAAAGGTCAACTTTTGACTTAAGCTTACACCGTGCGTCTTCTTTTCGTCGACCCGGGCCTTTCGCTGATTCAGATACCTGGATTTCCTGTCCTGGCTTAGATTAGGACAATGAACTCAGCATTAATCTTATCTCGATTCTCTTATCAAGTTGCACCGGCGAATACAGGACGAAGTTGTCAGTCCTTTCCTGTATGGGACTCTCCATCCTCAATTTGGCCTTCCGTGTTCTGACCCGCCACCTCCTCGCGGAGACGAGCGAATCGTCGTCAGCATTAGGGCAAAAGAAAAACTCGTTCTATCTGCAGCGTTGAATCTCCTTCAGACTATACCCTCGTTAGCGGTCAGGCACTTTATCCGATCGCTTTACTTATGGCATGCTGGTTCGACGTTCGAAGAGAAGTGCAAGCTTCTCAGAAGCACTATACCCCCATATCTGTCTCTCTGTATTGAAGACACTCGCACGCCAACAGTAGCCATTCCCCTTTGTGACCGTCCTGGCACTATCAGGTGAGCTCGTCTTGAGACCAGAGGAGACTGAACTTTACCGGCCTCCCGTGTTCCCGCACCCACCCCCATCTGACTTTCAAAACTCCGCGATATCTCTCTGGTCCCTTATCATCAGCACTTCAAGGACCAACCACAGACTCACCGCCTCTGCAACTCAGCTTTACCGAGGATGCCAGGCACGACATTACCCTCGGTGCCCCGCTGGGTCGCGTCCCCAACCACCAAGGAAGCTCGCAAGTAGATATACTCCAGCTCATTGTACTGACAATACTCATGATTGACATTCACAGTTGATTGGGCAGAGCTGCCGGTCATCGACTTCTCCAAAGCGAATACACCGGAGGGTCGTGCGGAGCTCGCGCCTCGAGTGCGTGACGTCATGCGAACGGTCGGATTCATGTGCATTGTCAATCACGGCTTGACTCAGTCTCAGGTACGTACTCGACATGTGTATATCAGGAGTGCACTCCTCACGGCTCATCGCTGGCAACCCCTCAATCAAGACCGAGCGCATGTTTGACATCGGCGATGTGGTGTTCAGTCAGGTTCCGGAGGAAGAGAAGATACAATTCTCGTCAAAGCTCAAGGAGGAAGGAACGAGGATTGGATACAAGCCCCGACAGCTATTCGTGAGTCCAACCGATTGTCTTGCCATGTCACGATGCATACTGAACATGTGCCACCTCGCTGCAGGTGACGGACAACGGGGTACGCGACCAATACGAACAGTACGCAGGTAGGAAGCCTTCCTGCTGCTGATTCCGGTTGTGCGCGCGATGAACCATATCCACGGCGCTTCCCGTAGTGCACCGTACGGTGTTTGGTAGACAGAAACATCCAAAGGCGCTAGAGCTTTACCTTCCCGAAGTGCGCGCGTTTGCAGAGCACAACCACCATGACGTTCTCCACAATATTTTGAGGTACGTGAAGGAAACGAAGATGATATTCGCAGGCTAGACGTTCTGTGCTAGGCTCCTCGCTCTGGGAATGGAGATACCTGAAGAGACGTTCGTCAAGATGCATGGTTTTGATGCTACCGGGGACTCGCATGGTGGGTCCATTTATTGCACACTCATCAATAACGTACGGCTCATTGCTGGACCCATAGTTCGCTGGATCAAATAGTGAGCAGCGGAATGTCCAGTGTCCCTTCTGTGAGCTCATCGCCCGTATACAGCTTTCCTCTGACAGAGGAGGATGAGGTCAAGACGAACCACGTCTGGCTTAGGGGGCATACCGGTGAGCGATCTTCTGGCGCGCTCTCCGGTTTGGTGGCAGCTATGCTCAAGCATGCTTTCACAGACACCGGGACTGTAACGATCTTATACAGTCAGCCCATCTCAGCCCTCCAGATCCAGTCACCCGACCATAAATGGCGCTGGGTCAAGCACATCGACAATGCCCTGGTAATACCTGGCGCATCCTTGGTGGGCACTCATATGCTAACGTCCGAATGTTCAGGTGGTCAACATCGGCGAGTCGATGGAGATGCTCTCTGGCGGTTTCTACAAAGCGACAATCCACCGTGTTGTCCAGCCTCCCGCGGATCAGCACGGTCTTATCCGCCTCGGAATGTACTATTTCGCTCTAGCGGACGATGATGTGAAGCTCGTTCCTGTCGAGAGTCCCGTGCTCGAGCAGGAGGGCGTGACGCGGATGTCCGAGGACGGGCCTGCGCTGACCATGGAGGAGTTGCGGAAGATACGCTACCGTGCGTTCGGGCTGAAGGAAGCAAATACGGCAGCGGGCGGGGAAGAGCACATCGTCGAGAACGGTGTAGTGGTATTGAAGTACTACAACTGAAGTGTTCGAAACCCATCATCATGCACACTTCCATCTCTTCTGCGACTCTGCTTGAAAGACGCTTCAGTGAGATTGATCTGACACCAGAGCAAAAGAAACGTGACGAGATCTTTGTGCACGGCTTGCAGCTAGTGAGATGGTACAGTAACTAAGCGGTGAGTCTATCCCAGAAATTCTCACCAAGTCCACGAAGTATTGACGCGATCATCCAAAGCCTAGATCAGCGCATTTTTGCGCGACTTGTTTCCAAACGAGAGAAGTAAACCCTACATCTTGATTATCTGAGGTTTGCACGGAGAGGCTTGGTTGATTCTAAAAACGCTTCTTTCAGACTCCTCTTGGAGTTTGAGAGCAGTTAGCGGGAGGCCGCACAGTCCGATGGCTATACTTACAAAGCGCGTTCTACATCTGAAGAGACGTGTTATATCTATCGCGCAGCATCGAAGGACCAAATACGCAAATACGTCCCTCCGTGGAAGGTCTCGCACGCTAAGACCCTGGATTGGTCAGGTAAGTCTTCTTCAGACTGGGAGAGACTGAACTTTACCGGCCCCCCGTGTCTCCGCAATCACATCCTTCTCTCCACTCTCCACTTCAAAAGGACGTCGTCCTTCCTTGCTACTGTGCTCTCTGAGATCTGATACTGCCTCTTCACGTCTTTGTATAGGCCTGATCAAGAATGCCCGTCGCGACGCTGCCCCCCGTACCCCGCTGGGTTGTACCTTCGCCTACGAAAGAAGACCGTCAGTATATTGACTACCCCCAACTCCTATTGTGACGCTTATCCTGCATCTTTGCAGTCGACTGGGAACAACTTCCGGTTATCGACTTCTCACAGGCAAGCACACCAGAGGGTCGTGCAGAGCTTGCGCCGCGCGTGCGAGACGTCATGCGTACCGTGGGGTTCATGTGCATTGTAAATCACGGATTGACGCAGAGTCAGGTATGTACCGTATGGCGCATGTTGTTACCACGCAGCTTAGGTGTCGTCTCTCACATACGACCAGACAGCACGCATGTTTGACATCGGGGATGTAGTGTTTAGTAAGGTTCCCGAGGAGGAGAAGCTCCAGTATGCATCGAATCTCAAGGAGGACGCCACGAGGATAGGATACAAGCCCCGTCAGGTTTTTGTCAGTGCAATCGATGGCTCCCTACTGCGTGCTTGCTAAAAACAAGGTCATATTGCCATAGATGACGGACAATGGAGTTCGCGACCAACACGAGCAGTATGCCGGTAAGCGACGGACCAACTGACCGGACTTTCACTCGGGACGAACCTACTCTGACACCATCGCCAGTACACCGCACAGTGTTTGACAGACAGAAGCATCCGAAGGCACTAGAGCCGTTCCTTCCCGAGCTGCGCGCGTTCGCAGAGCACAACCATTACAACGTTCTTCACCAAATTCTCAGGTACATCTCAGAGGCGAGACAATTAAGGGAAAGCTAACAGCATATCAGACTGCTCGCCCTGGGCATGGAGATTCCCGAGGAGACGTTCGTCAAGATGCATGGTTTTGGCGCTGCTGGGGACTCTCACGGTGGGTCCTCTTCGCACATATCTGAAGGGCGTACGGGTGACTGTATTGCATGTGTAGTTCGTTGGATCAAGTAGTAAGCTAGGGAGTGTCTCAAGTCCCGTCGTCGCACCTGATAGCAGTGCCTAGTTACCCATTGACAGAAGAAGATGAGGTCAAGACGAATCATGTGTGGCTCAGGGGACATACAGGTCAGTCCCTCTCCTGTGTGCCCGCGTCATCTGCTTGCACTTTTACAGAAGTTACCTCACCAGATGCCGGAACGGTGACAATCCTGTACAGTCAGCCAATTGCAGCACTTCAGATCCAATCTCCAGACACGAAATGGCGATGGATCAAACATATCGACAATGCCCTAGTGAGCTCTACCTCATCCTTGCTTTTTGTATCCAAATTGATGGCAAAATACCCAGGTGGTCAACATAGGGACATCGATGGAAATTCTCTCCGGTGGCTTCTACAAAGCGACGATCCATCGTGTCGTACAGCCACCCGCTGATCAGCGCGGCCTGATCCGTCTGGGGATGTATTACTTTGCTCTCGCCGACGACGATGTCAAACTCGCACCGGTCGAAAGTTCTGTATTGAAGCAGGAAGGCGAGCCGAGCGGCTCCGAGTCTGGGACTACGCTTACTATGGGCGAGTTTCGGAAGATGCGTTACAGGGCGTTCGGTCTGAAGGAGGCGAAGCGCACGGACACGGGGAAGGAAGAGCATATCATCGTTAATGGCGTCGTTGTCGTGAAGTACTATAATTGAACGCCCTGATTCCTGGCAAACTGAGATGACTATTCAAAATGATACTGGGGAACGGCGAGTCGCTCGCAAGCGTTCTCACGCGTCTGGAGCGCCATTGCACCCTTCCAAGCCTAACATTCCGAGGCTTGCATGTACACTCTAGTACTACTGCCTTGTGCCGGGACTTGAACCGCTGATATGGCATGCTTTCAGCGAAGCTCCACCCACCACTGCTCCTCATCGCCGTAGTAAGGCCGACTCTCTCTGTTTGGGCAGGGATATCAGTTAGATAAATTTTTCAATCCTTATAGTTATAGTAAAACGCGAATTATTTGGCCCAAATGTTATAGTGGCCCCTCCAAATATTTGAGACGGTTGGAGGGATGTCCCCCCCGGATATTCGAGACGAATCCCAAATATTTGGGACGTATGTAGGAGCGAGGGGAGGAGGGTACTCCCCTCCACCAAATATTTGTCAAATATTTAGCCTTAGCGCTACATAGCGCTATGTACGGAGGAACATGATCGTGTCATCCGTCCAAATATTTCAGAGCCTCATGAAATATTTGAGCAGATTTCTCCAGTTGAGAAGCGCCACGCGTAATCGAAAAATACCATACAAATATCTCAGCGAGATATTTGGAGAATATTTGGTCCCCTTCTCGCGCACGTCGTGGCCTACCTCAGTCTTGAGATATATTTGTTGTGCGGAACATATACTTACAGCTCCCTGACACAAGTCTACAATAATCG